GAAGAAGGAACATCCAAAGTCCTCTCTACTGGGACATAAGGTCATACAAAGTCCTCAAGAAACTTAACAGCATTAGAGACAAATTGAAAGTAAACTTCTAACTCTTATGTAGACCTGATGAAATATTGACCTGGTGCGAGGTCAGAAATCAATGCACGCATCAGCTTTGGAAGTGACCTATACTTAGGGACTATAATCAAGTGCTTTAGCCATGGGAATTTGATGGCCTAGGACTAGTTATTTAACTACTACATGAGTTATTTTTCTTACCTGCTATCTGATAAGAACAACTTAGAGTAAGAAAAGTTTGTTTGGGCTCATAATTCCACAGATTTCAGTTCACAGTCCTGACACAAACATCTTCAGGGAAGAAATATTTATTTGGGCTCATGGTTTTAGAGGTCTCAATTCACAGTTAGTCAACCCAATTGCTCTGTGTCTGAGATGTAGCAGAAGGATGTGGTGGAGGAAAACTGCTCAGCTCATGGTAGCCAAGAAGCACCAAGAGAATAGGAGGGGCCAGGAAGAAATGTATAATCCCCAAGGGATGCCCCCAGTGACCCACTCCCTGTAGACACAGCCCACCTGCCTAGAATTCTTATTTGCTAATAAAAGAGTAATTCAAAATATTAATCAAATGGATCAATCCACGGGTTTAAGTTAAGGTTCTTAGATCTAATCATTTCACCTCCTGTATTAATGTAGGAGATTTTTTGTTTGTTTGTTTTTTGAGGGGTTAAGCCCAGGTGTGCTCAACCCCTAAGCCACATCCCCAGCCCTTTTTTAGTGTTTTGAGACAGGGTGCTAAGATACTGAACCTTACTTTGAAGTCACAATCCTCCTACCTCAGCCTCCTGATCCACAGGGATTATAGGCATTTGCCACTATACCCAGCCCAACACAGAAGTTTTTTGGTTTTTTTCACTGTTTTATTATTTTTTTAATTTATATATGACAGTAGACTGCATTAAAATTCATATTACACATATAGAGCACAAATTTTTCATATCTCTGGTTGTATACAAAGTATATTCACACTGATTCGTGTCCTCATACATGTACCTTGGATAATAATGTTCATCACATTTCACCATCATTTCTAACCCAATATTCCTCCCTTGCCATATCTAGAGTTCTTCTATTCTTCCCATGCTCCCCCTCCTTACCCCACTATGAATCAGCCTTCTTATATTGGAGAAATATTTGACATTTGGTTTTTGGGGATTGGCTAACTTCACTTAGCATTATATTCTCTAACTCCGTTTACCTGCAAATGCCATGATTTTATTCTCTTTAATTGCTCAGTAATATTCCATTGTGTATATATGCTGCATTTTTTATCTATTCATCTATTGAAGGACATCTAGGTTGACTCCATAGTTTAGCTATTGTGAATTGTGCTGCTATAAACATTGATGTGGTTGTGTCCCTGAATTATGCTGTTTTTAAGTCCTTTAGGTATAAACTGAGGAAAGGGATACCTAGGTCAAATGGTGGTTCCATTCCCAATTTCCAAAGAATCTCCATACTGCTTTTCATATTGGCTGCACCATTTTGTAGTCCCACCAGCAGTGTATGAATGTGCCTTTTCCCCCACATCCTCGCCAACATTTATTTTTCTTGCATTTTTTTCAGTTTTATTGATTTTATTTTTTAAAATACATGACAGTGGAATGCATTACAATTCTTATTACACATATAGAGCACAATTTTTCATATCTTTGTATATAAAGTATGTTCACACCAATTCATGACTTTATACATGTACTTTGGGGTTTTTTTTTGGTATTACAGTTCTTATTACACATATATACCACAATTTTTTATATCTCTGTATATAAGGTGTATTGACACCCAATTAGAGTCTTCATACATGTACTTTGGATCATGATGTCCATCACATTCCACCATCCTTGCTAATCCCCTGCCCCCTCCCACCCCTCTTCCCTATCTAGAATTCATCTAATCCTCCCATGCTCCCCCTCCCTACCCCCACTATGATTCAGCCTCCTTATATCAGAGAAAACATTTGGCATTTTTTTTTTGAATTGGCTAACTTCACTTAGCATTATCTTCTCCAAAGCCATCCATTTACCTGCAAATGCCATGATTTTATTCTCTTTTAATGCTAAGTAAAATTCCATTGTGTATATATGCCATATTTTTTTTCATTCATTCATCCACTGAAGGACATCTAGTTTGGCTCCACAGTTTAGCTATTGTGAATTGTGCTACTATTAATATTGATGTGGCTGTGTCCCTGTAGCATGCTGTTTTTAAGTCCTTTGGGTATAGACCGGAGAGAGGGATAGCTGGGTCAAATGGTAGTTCCATTCCCAGATTTCCAAGGAATCTCCATACTGCTTTCCAGGTTGGCTGCACCAATTTGCAGTCCCACCAGCAGCGTATGAATGTACATTTTTCTCCACATCCTCGCCAACACTTATTGTTTGTCTTCATAATAGCTGCCACTCTGAGTGGAGTGAGATTATATCTTAGAGTAGTTTTGATTTGCATCTCTCTGATTGCTAGAGATGATGAACATTTTTTCATATATTTATTGATTGATTGTATATCCTCTTCTGAGAAGTGTCTGTTCAGGTCCTTGGCCCATTTGTTGATTGGGTTATTTGGGTTTTTTGGTGCTTAGCTTTTTGAGTTCTTTATTTACTCTAGAGATTAGTGCTCTATCTGATGTGTGAGGGGTAAAAATTTGCTCCCAGGATGTAGCTCTCTGTTTACCTCACAGATTATTTATTTTGCTGAGAAGAAACTTTTTAGTTTGAATCCATCCCATTTATTGATTCTTGATTGTAATTTCTGTACTATAGGAGTCTTATTAAGGAATTTAGGGCCTAATCCCACATGATGGAGATTAGGCTTATTTTTTCTTCTATTAGATTCAGGGTCTCTGGTTTTATTCCTAGGCCCTTGACCCATTTTGAGTTGAGTTTTGTGCATGATGAGAGATAGGGGTTTAATTTCATTTTGTTGCATATGGATTTCCAGTGTTCCCAGCACCATTTGTTGAAGAGAGGCTATCTTTTCTCCAATGTATGTCTTGGAGCCTTTGTCTAATATAAGATAATTGTAATTTTGTGGGTTAGTCTCTGTGTCCTCTATTCTGTATCAATGGTCTACCAGTCTGTTTTGGTGTCAATACCATGCTGCTTTTGTTACTATTGCTCTGTAGTATAGTTTAAGGTCTGGTGTAGTGATGCTACCTGCTTCACTCTTCTTGCTAAAGATTGCTTTAACTATTCTGGATCTCTTGTTTTTCCAGATGAATTTCATGACTGCTTTTTCTATTTCTATGAGGAATGTCATTGGGATTTTGATTGGAATTACATTAAATCTGTATGGTGCTTTTGGTAGTATGGTCATTTTGGTAATATTAATTCTGCCTATCCAAGAGCAAGATAGATCTTTCTATCTTCTAAGATCTTCTTTCTTTCTTTCTTTCTTTCTTTAGCATTCTGTAGTTTTTGTTTAGAAGTCTTTCACTTCTTTTGTTAAATTGGCTCCCAAGTATTTTACTTTTTTTGAGGCTATTGTAAATCGGGTAGTTTTCCTTTCTGAGGATTTGTCACTGATATTCAGAAATGCATTTGATTTATGGGTGTTTATTATATGCTGCTACATTGCTAAATTCATTTACTAATTCTAGAAGTTTTCTGGTGGAATTTTTGGGGTCTCCTAGGTATAAAATCATATCATCAGCAAACAGTGCCAATTTGAGTTCTGCTTTTCCTGTGTGTATCCATTTAATTTCTTTCATCTAATTGCTCTGGCCAGTATTTCAAGAACTATGTTAAATAGAAGTGGTGAAAGAGAGCATCCCTGTCTAATTCCAGTTTTTAGAGGGAATGCCTTCAATTTTTCTCCATTTAGAATGATGTTGGTCTGAGACATAGCATAGATAGCCTTTATGATGTTGAGATATGCTCCTGTTGTCCTAAGTTTTTCTAGTGTTTTGAACATGAATGGGTGCTGTATTTTGTCAAATGCTTTTTCTGCATTTATTTAAATGATCATATGATTCTTATATTTAAGTCTATTGATGTGATGAATTACATTTATTGATTTCTGTATGTTGAACCAAATTTGCATCCCTGGGATGAACTCCACTTGATCATGGTGCACTATCTTCTTGATGTTTTTGTTTCAATTTGCCAGAATTTTAGCATATATGTTCATTAGAGATATTGGTCTGAAGTTTCCTTTTTTTCATGTGTCTGTGCCTGGTTTTGAAATCAGGCTGATATTGGCCTCACAGAATGAGTTTGGAAGTGCTGCCTCTTTTTCTATTTCCTTAAATAAATTGAAGAGTATTACTATTAATTCTTTTTTTAAAGTTATTGTAGAACTCGGCTGCCAACACAGAAGTTTTTGAGAGACACTTCATATCCAAACAAAAACAATACAATTAGACATTAATGTGATAAACATGTTGTAAATCACAAAAGACGGATGTGATATACAATGTTTTCCAAATTTATTTGACCATAAAATTCTTGTGCAGTAGCCTATTAGTTTACTAACTACTATTCTAAGACATACCTTTTGGGAAACTCTAATATAGTCACTTTTGCACTTTTATACATATAAGAATTTAGATATTTTTCTAGATTAAAGTTGAGTTTTTATGCAAGTGTATATAAAGGCAGAAATCATGGAAAAATCTTTCTAGTATTATCTTTTATGGATCCCCCATTCCCTCCCAACCACTACCAATTTGGCTTAAAATTTTACTGTCATTGTATATAGAATAATTCCTCCTTGGGAAACATGAAAAATGCATGATACGAAATCAAGGCAAAAGTCAGGTTAGCTTCTTAGACAAGACATAAACCCAAGATTCTAACCTTGTGAGAACTTAGTGTCCTACCAAATTTCTCACAGGTGAGAAAATAAAGGAGTAGCATGAGGAGGCACGTTCTGGTTCCTGGCTCATCCAGTTCATTCTTGTAACACCCCTCGTATTTCCTTTTCCTGACCAGGGGTCGTCCTTTTCTTCCCGTCATCCAAAACACTCAGAAAAGTCAGCTGGAAGACAGATTGAACAACCAGGAGCGCACCATAGCATTCCTCCTTGAACAAGCCTTCCGCATCAAGGAGGACATCTCTTCTTGTCTCCAAGGGACCCACGGCTTTCGAAAAGAGGAATCACTTGCCAGGAAGTTACTAGAAAGCCATATACAGACCATCACTAGCATCGTCAAAAAACTCAACCAAAACATTGAGGTAGTTCTCTTTCACATATTGGCATCATTGCTTGACAAAAAAAATTATCAACCACCAATGTCATTTTTCAACTGTAGAAATGTGTTGCTATTGTTTATGTTTAAATGATTATAGCTGCCTCAGAGGAAAACAGTTCAATTTTTGGACTACTCATTTATGCTGAAAAGTAGAAGGAACTTACATTCAAAAACTATTTATTGTCTATCTATCTTGTATTGGCAAAGATCTATTTAACATTATACTACATATTTATGTTAAGACACTCTTAGTCTAAATCTCCAAAGTTCTATTAATGTCATGATTCCAAACAGAGGTATTCATAATACACAACATGCTGGGTCATAAATCCACCAGCAATCTCTGACTCCGTCTCCACCCACCTCTTTCAGTCTGGCCATCTGGTCTCCCAATTATTCCCTTCTATTCAGTTTGGATCATCTTCCTCCACTATGACATGTTCTTTATTTCCTTCAGGTCTCTGCTTAGACCACCTTCAAAGAGAAAATTTCCTTCATACTGTGTAAGATAGCATCCCTTCTCAGCCCAATAGTTTTAATCTCCCTTAAACTCTACTTTAATCCATAGTACTTAGCACAATCTATTTTTGTCTATTGGTTGTTTTCTTCCTCTAAAATATAATCTCCATAAGTGCAGGAAGTTTTCTTAATTCACTAGTAAGTCAACAGCAGTGTCTGGCATGTAGGCAGCACTCTAAATTCTTGAGAATGTGGGTAAATAAATTATTTTTAAGATTTTAAAGGAAAAATAAGATTTTTGATGGAAAAAGAAAATTCTTAGGCTAAACCAAGATAAGTTTTTATCTGTCAGAGTTTTTAAAGTACACATGCATGATAAATCAGGGTTAACAACTTTTGGGCAAGGATTCCAGTAAATACACCTTTAAGAACCTGGCCAAAAAAAAATGTGGAATAATGAGAAATAACAATGCCCTTTTGCTTTCTACTATCAGTGAGAATATGAATTAAAAACAAATAAACAAACAACAAAAACAAAAGATTAAATACTAATCATGGAATTAACCCAGGAATGATTTGCTCATGAATTTATCTTTGAGGTAGAGGATATTTATGAGTTTATTTCCTATCTGCAGGGTCTAGCAGACTCCATGATGCAACTGAGAAAATATGGAATGTTAAAAACTATTAGTTGACTTTTCAAAAGGTATATTAGTGATATTTAGCTCAGGTTGAATTGACCCTGGTACCTGGAAAGTCAATTGACCAAAGGTGATTCCAGACATGACAGTGTCACTAAGGTGTCAAGAGGCAAGCAGCTCTGTGCTTTTTGAGATGACCAGAAAATCAAGTAAAGGCTGGGACTGTGGCTCAGTGGTAGCACACTTGCCTGGCATGTGTGAGGGACTGGGTTCGATTCTCAGCACCACTTTCAATTCTCAGCACCATGTATAAATAAATAAAATAAAGATCTATCAACAACTAAGAAAAAATTTTAAAAAAGAAAAGAAAATCAAGTAAATATAGCACTAGCACTAAAATAAGATTCCAATACATGATCAAAATATCTTGGTAGTTGAAAAGAACACTCTCACCAAAATGTTCCTAAGCATATTCTGTATTTTGACCTGGGTCATTGTTACACAGTTGATCACATTTGTCAAGATCTATCCAGCTGTGCACTTTGATTTGTGCATTTCAATATTAATTATACCTGAATAAAATACTCTTAGTATTAAAAGGGAAAACATATTCTATATCTCTAGTATCTTTTAGTGTTTATTTTCCTACAATAATTGATTATCTAGGGCTGGGGTTGTGACTCAGTGGTAGAGCACTCGCCTCTCACTTGTGAGACCCTGGGTTTGATCCTCAGCACCACATAAAAATAAATAAACAAAATAAAGATATTGTGCCCATGTATAACTAAAAATAAAAATTACCTTAGATTAGTTCTTTTTTTTTTTTTGGTACCAGAATTAAACTCAGGGGCACTTAACCACTGAGCCACATCCCCAGCCCCATTTTGTATATTTAGATACAGGTCTCACTGAGTTGCTTAGTACCTCTTAAATTGCTTAGGCTGGCTTTGAACTGGAGATCCTCCTGTCTCAGCCTCCCTAGCTGCTGGAATTACATGCATGCATCACCACACCTGGCCAAGGTTAGTTCTTTAAAAAAAAGACAAAGCCAAAACATTTTCCAAAAAATTATAAAACCTCAAAATATTTGAGTCTTCTTAAGGGTTTGACATGATTAGAGAAAATGAGGAGGGCTGATTTATGTGGAAAACTAAATTTAAAATACATTTTAAAGGCTTTAGATAACACTGTTAAAACATTATGAAGTAGAAATTATTTGGTTACCCTTAGTGAAAAACTAAAACTATAATTAAAAGCACTTTATAGAGAAATCAATGCTATTCAAATATTTTAATAGCACCTAAACTCAGCAACCTAGTTAGTCCATTTGCAAACCAGCCAGCAAGATAGATCCAAATGTGAACTAAAACTTGACTCAGGTTCTTAAAAGGAATAAAATAATATTTTTTTAGATTACCATAATTGCAACAGTTACACTGCTTATTTCTTTTTTAAAGAAAATGATTTTTAAAGCAGACTATTAATTATGTCTTAAAAATAACATTTTTAACTTAAAAAAAAGAATTTTTTTTTTGTATAACATTGCCTTATTGTGAATCCCCCGCTACAATTTATAGAAGCAATTCTTGTTCACTGTAATTATTTTGGAAGTTCAGGAAGAAATTTTAAAACCTGAGAAAAAAATTTCTCACAATTCCACCATGAAATGTCAATCTCCGCAAACATCCAGATATATCTCCCTCTAGCTCTTGTAAGTATTCTGTTTAGGAGGCTGAAACTATTTTTGTTGCACAGTCTTTAACATAAAATTATAACACAAACCCTTTCATGTCATTAGAAACTCCTTGAATGGAGCATATACCATGATTTGCTTTATTATTCTTAATGTTAAAATATCTTTGTGCTTAAGTATATATCTGCATTTGGATTATTTCCATAATATATATTCTTAGAAATAGAATTACCAAGATATAAAGGCTGTGAAAATTCTTGATATGTGTTGCCAAATTGGTTTTCAGAAAGATTATACTGGTTTATCCTTTCATTAGCATTATATGAGAGTGATTTTTTTCAGTGGGCCTATGCCAGCATTGAGATTTATTGTTTTAATCTTTGCTAATTTCATAGGACAAAAAATTAGATGTTTTTTTCTTGAAGGTTTTGAATCCACTTTTTAAAAATGACTATGAAATTTTATATTTCCTCTGCCAATATTTTGCTCATGTTTTTTGCCAATTTGTCTTTGAGAGTTTTAGCACTTTTAAATTCTTGTTGATTTGATGAACTCTTTTACATATTAAGGATATTAACCGGTGGTACAATGATAAATGTTTAACAATAAGAATTTTTTTTTCCTGGGGAGAAAAAAACCTGATGTGTGGTGTTTGCCTACTTGCATGGTGTAAATACTCCCACTATGATTTCAAATAACCACTGTGATGACGCTGAACACAAAGGTGGGGAAAGACGAATAGCATCAGCTCTCTCTCACCAACAGGTACATGCTGATTGCAGAACGCTAATGAAACTTTGGCAATAACATTTGTTATTAATGTTTTTCAAGCTTACTTTTAATGTCTTAATTGTATTTATAATGTTTAACAAGTTTAATATAAAATATCTTAAGCACTCAAATATTTTGCTTCTTTTTACTTTTGAGATGAGAAAAGTCTTCAGAAATGAAATAATATCATCTTTTACTTGTTATTCTACTGACTTAATTTGTGTGTGTGTGTGTGTTGCTGGGGATCAAACCTAGTCAGGGACTAACACATGTGAAGCAGGAGCTCCACCACTGAGCTACATTCCAGCCTCCTCTTATGGCTTAATTTCAATTTATATTTCATTCAGTTTTTCTAAAATCTATATCAATATGACATGAGGTAAATACCTAAATGATCCTACACCATTTGTAAAATTTCTCCCCTATTGATTGGTTAGTCTCATGCATAGCATTTTCACACTTACCAAGGTCATCATGACACAATTACATTATAGGACATTATTACACTACATTGAACTCATTGGCAACATATCATTACTATACTGATTTGCTTCTTATACAAAATGTTTCATTCTATCATAGAACATGTTCACCTTCATCACTGTTCTTTAATTTAAAAAACCTACATATGAATGAGAAAAGGCAAAAACAAACTCTAGCTAGTGTTTTTCACACTTTTATATCTTCAACTTAGGCTCTCTTTGCTCTTGGGTTTTCTCAGTCTGCCAATTTAAAAATGGGAAAGATCTGTATTCGGACTTTGAAATTCCTGTCATACATTTGATAAAAAATCCTACTCTACCTAGCATAATTCATAAACCTAATTTTAAATGTAGTTCAGAACTTTGTCAAATATAATAAACTCAAATGTTTCCCCAAATCCAAATTTATTTGTTTTCTGAAATTCTATGCTCTCATTCTTTTCTCAACAACAACAAAAAAAGTATATGTCAACACTTCACATTGGAATTTGAATGTCAACTAAAATGTATTTTTTCTATGGATAGGCAATTTTTTTCAATTTTAAAATTAACATTCATAAACAGGTACAAAAAATAAAAACCACTGTTCTCAGGACCACCAATCTGGCAATATAGGAAAGACAGCTTCACTTCCAAAATACCATGAGAGAAATAACTAACAATACTCAACAACACAATCTGAAAGCACATATGCCATAAACCTTTTGTGTTCTCAAGAAATCTGAAAAAATAAACCCCTTTCACTCCACGTATATGAAATGGTTTGGTTCAGATTGGCTTATGTCAGTTGTGTTAGCTTCATTGTGGTTCTGATTCAATCCATAAAGCACCTGACTGGGCTGGGGACATAGCTCAGTTGGCAGAGTGCTTGCCTTGCATGCACAAGGCCCTAGGTTCAATCCCCAGCACCAGAAAACAAAACAAAGAAACTGACTGATGCCACATTGAATAAAAATCTCTTTTTAAATCTGATCATCCACACTGAAATCGTGTGTGTGAGAGAAATTTTTATATTAATGATGGCCAAACGGCAACTTCTGGCCAAATCAAACCAATAAACATGTTCTGTTTGGCCTATATAGTGCTCAAAGATTTTTAACAACATGCCAATATTTTTAAATTGAGATTTTTACATAAAGTCTCATTTTCTAGCTTTTGTTGAAACACTAGTGAGATGTTGCTCTCACCTGACCACAATCAGCTACAATCAAACCATAGCTGCCTCCTCCAGATAAACCAAGATCAATTCTGTGAGACCAGCCTCTTGCACTCCTTTACCACCTGGACCTAACCACAAAATCCATTTGCTTCAGGTGAAGTTTTCTTACCATGTGTGATGGAATATTAATTGCCATCTTAACTCAAAATTTCAGGTCTTAGAAGACCAAATAAGAACTCGAGATCAGGTGACCACAGGAACTAATTTCGCAGTGCAGGATCTAAACATCAAACACCTGCAAGGAGTTGGAGACCTTCGGGGAAGAGTAGCCAGGTGAGAAGAAACATGTTAACTCATGTTTAACAATCAGTTCTCAGCCATTGAATTCTCATCCCTAAATAAATTCCATAGTTTAAATAACAAGTTATTGACTTTATATTAAGCTAAACTGATGAAACAGTAGTTGAGAAAATGTCTTTAGAACTTTGAAAGACCCAAGGTTGTATTCAAGACCCCTTATACAGAATATCCAGTTTGGTTTCTCAGGAAGTGACTGGAGTCTTGTCTTCACAACCCACAACTGCCCAAATACCAACAGCCATACACAACCTATAACCACATATAAATATCCATTTGTCAGGTTCTAATGAGTAAAACATTTAAAATATACAAGGACTAGTTATCAGTCTAATCAAAGAGATTTTCTGCCAACTAGATGAAGTTTTGAATAGCAGATTTTGTATGAGTTTCAAATCAAGAGTTAATAGTAAGAAATTCAGAAAAAAAATCTGTTAAGCATTGGCAATACTTGTGAATGGCTTACCACTGATACTCTCCATCTCTGCATCTTCTGCCAGAAACTCTTTCTTCTCTCCTGAAATACCCCCACCTCAATCTTATTAATCTTCCCTGAAGTATAAAAGACCAAATGAGAATTCAGTGATTGACATCAAAGTCAAGTCTCTCAATCCGTTTATGCTGCTATAACAAAATACCTGAAGCTGGGTAATTTATTTTAAAAACCAAAACTTATTTTCCCACAGTTCTGAAGGTAGAGAAACATAACAAGGGAGTCTGAAGTTTCAGTTGTCTGGTGAGGGCTGAATCCTCCAGAGGGGAGAGACACTGTCTCCTCACACATCAGAGAAAACTAGTGAAATGGAAAACTCTTCAAATGCTGTGTGAAGACTCTTCTATAAGGGACTCACTGATCTGGCAGGAGCTCTCAGGGCCTACTCATCTCTTAAATACCTCCCTTATTAATACTCTTACGTTGGCAACACCTGAATTTTGGAGGAGACACATTTGAACAATAACATTACTCCAGGGTATTTGTCCATTCAATTAAAAAAAAAAACTAAATACTATAAGCCAGGCATTGTACTAAATTTCAGCAACACAACCTGCTCTCTTTAGCTGCTCACAGTCTATCTGGCAGAACAAGTTTTGAAGGTCAGCAATAGGGCAACACTATGCTGAAAACCTGGGGTGCTGTGAGAATATCCAACCAGACAGACAGGGGAGGGGCTTCTCAGTTGAGGTAACATTTGAGATGGGTTGCGAAGGACTTGTAGCAGTTAGCTATAAAAGGAGGGGTGGGAAAGACACTTCAAATAAAGGAGGAATGACACGTGGAAAAGAATCAAGGCAAATATTATTGTGGTGTGTTGAAAGGCTGGAAGAAGACTATTTGGGGTTATAGGATTTGAGAGTATGATTCAAGAAGATATGGGAGAAAAAGTTCAAGAAGTGGCACAAAGTTGAAATATGAGTGACTCTGTGGGCCAGTGTCTGAACACTATGTAGAAGGTTATAAATAGCCATGGGAGGATTTCAGGTAAGGGGATAATTTGGGGTGGGGGGGTTCAGAAAGAGGGTATGAGACCAGAGGCAATCCAGGGGAGAGGTGACAAGGGCCTAAACTCAGGCACTGGTCGTAAGTTCCAGAACAGAGCATTTGGAAAATTGAATCTATAGGATTAGTACATGAATTAAATGGAAGATGAGTTAAGATAAAAGAGTGCAGGATAGCTACCACGGTTTCTGTCTTGGGGACCAATTGAATGTTCATGTTATTCAACAGAAATATAAAATGAGGAACAGTTTTGACAAGGAAATGGGAAGAGAGTCAAGGGGTGATTATGTATTTGGTTAGTACCACATGGGAAGACTGTGGGATATTAACCATAAAAGGCATGGTACTCAAAGGTGTAGAGGCTGGGGGTGGGCCCAGGCTTTTGCTTGACCTATAATAAAAATGATATAGTGGCTCTGGGAAACATAGTGTAGTTCTGAAGTATGACTTCTTTCCTCTTAAAAATAAAGATACAGTGTAGGGAATAATAGCCAGGGTTGGAAAACTGTCATCAAAGAAAACTAAGTGATAACTTAGAGACAATACAAACAAAATTATTGTATTAATATTTTCTGTAAATATATAAATAAACTATATGTAACTATATAATGTTCAATATAAAGAAATTTTTATAATATTTGGGTTAAAAACATACAATTATTTCATATTTGATACATAAGAATTTTTATAGTATTTGGGTGAGTTATGAAGCAAGATACTGAAATAAACATGAGCAAATCCACAACCTTCTTAGATAGGTTTTTGCAAAAAAGATAAACACCAAATATCCATTTTAAGTGAAATATAGTGGGCTGGGGATATAGCTTAGTGGTAGAACACTTACCTAGCAAGCATGAGATCCTGAGTTCAATCCCAGAACTTCAAAAGAGAAAAACAAAATCATCAGTGAATGAAGCAAGATTTGGTACAATCTGGTGTGTGCTGATGACACTCTCCATGAGTGCCAAACCTATTATTTACAAACCTATTATTTTGTTCTTATAAATCGTATTTTGCATACAAAAGAACAAATGGGTTTAAAAGCAACCCAGAGATCAATAGAATTACATCAAGAAGAGATATACAACTCTTTTTGCTCTGCTCTGTTTCTTCCTTTTGTTTTGGGCAGGGGGTGGGGCGATGTTGGAGAGTGAACCCAAGAACTGTGCATCCTAAACACGTGCTCTATATCCCCAGCTCATTTCTTTTTTATTTATTTATTTTTTGAAACAGGGTCTTGCTATGTTGCCCTAAACTTCTGGTCTCCATCAATCCTCCTGCCTCAGCCTCCCAAGTAGCTGTGATCACAGGAGTGGGCCACTGTACCCAGCTTGCTCCAATTTCTTATTTATTTTCATCTTCAATTGTAAGCAGTGATTTTGGAACAAGGTCTTAGTTTTCCTTGAAATGTCCCCTTTTTATGGAAAATTTTTGAAATCTATTTGGAAATCTGAGACAGAATCTGGCTGAAAGCCATGAGACTTAAATTCATCCTCCCTCTCCTGTTTCTTGTCTGTGTTTTTGCCAGACAAAATGACTAATGGACAAGCTAAGGCATATTGATTACTGGCTCTCCACATCTAGTGACATTAATACCAATTAGCATTTTGAAATTAAGTGAAATGTAGTTGATTATTTTAACATAATTCCTAACAATCACCTTGCCATTTCATAAATCTGACTCAATATTTAATAACTACAATGTTCTTAGAATTTTATAACTTTTTCCCCACATCCAAACATAGTGGTAGTTTAAAAGCATGTACTTCCAATGAAATGAGATTCTTAAAGCTTCCCAGCTTACCCTTGACACCTTCTCCTCTATTTGATAGATGAGTCTCAAGTGCGAAAAAGGAAACAGTGGGTGTGCAAAGGGCACATCCCTATGGATGAATAGGTATGGCTATGGCTTACAATCGGCAGCAGAAGTCAGAGGAGGCCAAGTTGCTTGCCACATTTGACTCTTTAGACTCCAAGGCAAGATTGCATTTTTAAAAGTGATAAACTGGGTTGATGTGTGATTAAAAGCAAACTCATGTCCTTTAAAGAAACAATGATATTATAAATATCAGCAACTTTTAAAAGACAAGGGATACTTCTGGCTAAAGGGGACAGAATACACTTAACTCCACTTTCTTCTCTTGAGATATCTCAATTCCAGTGAAAAATAAAAGGAAAACAAAAACACCTCCTTTAACATAAAATGGAATTTGTCACAACCATTAACCACAAACAAAACACTCTTGCCAAATATTGTGATGTTTGGACTGACACTGTCCTTCTTAGACCTTAAACAAAGATTTCTTCCGAACCAAGAGTCATAATCCTGAAAGGCATAGGCCAAATAATTTTTTAAGTTTAAAAAAATATTTTCAGTTGTAGATGGACACAATAACTTTTTTGTTTATTTATTTTTTTAATGTGGTGCTGAGGATCAAACCCCGTGCCTCACGCCTGTGTGACAAGCACTCTACCACTGAGCCACAAACCCAGCTCACAAAATAATTTTAATTTCGCAATACTATTTGGGGGCTTAGCTGGGTCAAAAGATAGGAAATGTCCTTTTAGAGATAAGGTCAACAATGCAGAATAGCTGGGGAGCTTTAGCTGCAAATCCAATGGTGTTCTTTATTGTTTCATTAATCTAGGACTCCCTCCTTGACAGCTTGTAGTTGAGAGAAACTGGAGAGGAGGCAAGAATGTCACCACAGAAAAGCTATGACTTACATTTGATATGAGATTCTCCAGTCTGTCTTATCAAGGGACAATTGAGAGAAGTGCCCCCACCCTCAGATCTAAGGAAATACCAGATTTGATACTGCAAGACTCCACAGAGCATGGTCTCTGCCCTTCACCAAACCCCACCAATCTTCTGCAGGCAGCCAGAAATATTCACAGATGTCATAGTGATAGGCAGAATCTACCCATGAATAAAAATCACTTCCACTACCATCTCCGATAAACAGACAGACAGATCAGTCTGGGATGGATAGATACACAGACAGACAAAACACAGGTCAAAGAATGAATGTACTTCATGAAAGGAATTGGCCAAAAAAGTAAAGAGGTCATACAAAAATTCTCCTGGTTTCAAAGAAATCAAGAGCAAAAGAGATAAAAGATTGTATGAACAATTGTGAGTAATTTGGCTCCTTCCAAAACCCCCACCAAATCTACAGTAAAAAGATTTTCTCTTTAAAACATAAACCCCACAAGGACAAGGGATATCAGCATAGAAGTCCTGGAAATGAGAAAGCAGGAGGACATGTGGAAACTGCCTTAGCAGATTTCATAAAACTAACTTTAAAGCTGTGGGATAAGCTGAGAACCTTGATTTCACACCACAAAAATCTCAAAAGGTTTCAGGCAATTGCCTCTATGGAGAGGAACTGAGAGAAGCAGGGAAAGGTCAGGAACCATGGTAAAGTAGGTCTCCCCTCATCTTGCAGACTGCCAGTAGATGCCTAGAATTGCAGATAGTACCAAACCCTACAATTACTCTTTTTCCTATATATACATACCTATGATAAAGTTTAATTTGTAAATTAGGTATAATAAGAAATTAACACTAATAACTAATAATATATAAAAATTATAACATATATACTGTAATAAAAGTCATGTAACTGTGTTCTTGTTCTCTCTCAATAGCTAATTGTACTGTACTCACCCTTTTCCATTTAATACTTTCAACCCGATTGACTACAGGTAACTGAAGTGTAAAACTGGATAAGGGACAACTCCTATAGTTTTGTTGTTTTTTTTTGCCTTTTATTATTGACTTTTAAACTATAAACATGTTTTACTTTGATAAGATAAAAGTTAATTTTAAAAATGAGGTATAAGGGCCGGGGTTGTGACTCCGTGGTAGAGTACTTGCCTAGCTTGTGTGAGGCACTGGGTTTGATCCCTGGCACCACATAAAAAACAAATAAAATAAAGGTATTGTGTCTATTTACAACTAAAAAAATGTATAAAAAACGAGATATAAGAGTATTTCCCCCCACAAAACAAAGAGGGTATCATGTAACAAAAGGAAATAGATAAATTGGAATTTCTCAGGGATAAGATAAAAGGAAAAAAAAATGAAAATATTAAAGATTAAATCTACTTTAGAAACTCCTAAGCAGGATAAATGCAACAAAAAATAATAAAGAGTTATTCAAAAAATAAAAAGCATGAGCAAACCACATCAAGAAAATGCTTTTGACATAAAAATGGATATGGATAAGTATGTTTATGACTGACACACCATAGAAAATTTCATGGATGTAAGAGAAGACAATTTAATGGAAACAGAGATCAAAAGGTAAAACTGTGTCCTTGGAAAAACCTGATGTAAGAACAATTAACCCAAGATAACCTGGTTGAAGTTACTGAACATCAACGATAAAGAATCACTGAGCATCTAGGTAGACAAAGCAAATCTCACAAAAGAAGGGAAAGGTATAATCACCTCACACTTCTATATCTCAACCAGCACCAGAAAAGAATGGAGCAACATCTACCATGTTTACCTTTCAAGTGTTAAAGAACAGATTTTCCTAAGGATTTTAACATTACTGAGCCTTTCTTTTGAAATCTATATGACAAAACCCGGCCACTGAGGAATTTTTTAAAAAAGGAATTTCAGAAAAAGAATCATAATTTAGAAGGACTGTTAATAAACATAGATCTAAATATAGAATAAAAATTCAATAACTGTAGGAATTCTGGTTATAGAACATAATAAAAGTATCATAAAATTAAGCATTTAAAAATAGCAAACTATTCACAGACTGTTGAAGAACAAGTATATAAATTTATTTCCTCCATTTTTTTCATATGGTCAACAGATAATATCTAAAGTTGAGTTGGTATTGTAAAAAAAATAACAATTCCAATCTACAATAACTTTTTATAGCTTCTTTATTTCAGAAACAAATATCTCTCATAGTGAAGAAATACATAGCCAGCGTTCCATATTGTACTGAACAGATTAAGAATTTTTCTTGTCATTATTCCCTAAACAATACAGTATGATGGCTATTTGCAAAGCTTTTACATTGTATTTATTATTATAGCTAATATAAAAGTTATTTAAGGTATTTGGCAGGATACCATTAATATAAGAAACTCGAAAATCTGTGGATTGGGTATCTTCAGGGTTCTGGGGGCTGTCCTAGAACCATTCCCCTATAGAAACCAAAGGATGACTGCACACACACACACACACACACACCTATTATTAAGAGAATGACAGGGTGGGGGGGCTGGGGTTGTGGCTCAGAGGTAGAGCACTCGCCTACCATGCGTGAAACTCTGGGTTCAATCCAGAGTTCAATATAAGGTAAAGATATTGTGTCCACCTATAACTAAAAAATAAATATTAAAAAGAATGACCAAATATTAAATATTAGCAATGTTATTTCTGAGAAGTGGGATTTTGTTTTTTTTCTTTTTCTTTCTTTCTTTTTTTTTGTTTTTTTTTTTTGGTATTATATGAATTTTTTTACAATGGGCATGTTACTATTTTAACAGAAACAATAAAACCATTCTAAAGAAAGAGGAGGTAGAGACTTCCTTTTGGAAGATAGAATGCAGTTTGAAAAGCTGCTTAACAATCCTTCACTTCAACATGCATGGGTGGGCTTGTGGAGGAAGCCAGGGGAGGTGAAAATGAATAGGTGGCAGCTTCCAAGATGACTAATAAATAATAGCTGCTAATCTTGTGTGGGTGTTCCCTCTGCACTAGGTACTGGCCACATGCTTTATATTCATCACCACCTTCCTTGAATAACTTTACTAAGTAGTGCTTCTCAGGACCTCCACTTAAGTTTTGAAGGTTGAACACGAAATGCTCTTGAGACATGTGTCCACTGTTGCCCAGGTGTTTGACACCCTCTGGAATTGCATGGTAGACAAATTGTACAACTGTGTATAGTGATCTTGGCATCACTATACCCCCTCCATTTTTTTTTTCAGATGAGGAAAACTGAAACTCATAGAAGAAACTTGACCCAGATCACAAACTTAGGAAGTAGCAAAGCCAGGACTCAAAGTCTGGCTTATCTGACATCAAAGACAAATCTGACAATGGAGACCAGTGGCCTCTAATACACAGACCAACTGTCCCTGGGGGTAGAGAATGAGGGAGGGATAGAAGGAGGTAGCAGGAAGCAGTGGTAGCAGCAAGCACTCCTATGTATTTTGGGGGAGGGATTTTAATATGGACTCACATAAAGATGGAATTCCAACTAATCAATAATAGAGGTATAATTCTGACAATGACAGTTTTCATAGACAAACATGGAAAATGGCTTTGGGGCATGACTTGAGTGCATACCATCTTGCTTCTATTCTTGACAAGACTGACTCCTAATATTTTCTCTGGTAGCCTCTGCTCCTACCACCAGCCATCTGGTATCCATCCCTTCAAGGGCATGTTCAGGCAAAATTACCTTCTTAAACCACCTTTAGTTCAATTCTTTGGCACCAAAAATCTTAAGAAAAAAATTTCATTTCTGGTTCCCCCAAATTATCAATTGTCATAATGCAAACTTAGTAGCACTTAGCATGGCAATATGAAAATGTAGTGTTCCTAATACTATCTGCAGACAATTGAAACAGTTATTTTATAAAATGACAATGTTAAAGTGCTCTCTGATAACTCAAACATGGAAGACACAGTCCTTCAGTGCTCTCCATTTTATCTGTCATGAATTCAGGGAACATTTAATGAAACTGATCACTAATGCAGATGTAAACTGCTCTCTCCCAAGTGAGGTCTTCGGTAATGGTAGGGGGCTAGGGCTCTGTGTTTTCTTCCCTGACATGCTGGGAAGATAGTAAATCTTCAACTCAGCTCCATCTCACCAGAGGTCCCTCCCTAAAATATCAAATGCTACCTATGGACCAAAACTTCATCCATATGTTAATATGAATTATTTTTGTCCCTATAAAAGACAAAGGCTAGCTGAGACCATTCAAGGAACAGGAGGTTTGGGGCTAAGAAGGTGATTTTTAAATTTTTTTTAAATTTCTTTTTTTTTTTTTTTTTGTTTTAATGGATTAGAAGATCTTTGTTTGGGTGGGACATCTTTTCTACCCAAAGGAGAAGAACTAGGCAATCTGGGTGCCAAGTAGATTCAAAACTTGGATTAAAGGGAGCAAAGTGGATTCAAAACATGATAAAGAAGAGGACATTTTATCAATTTTGCCTAACCACAGACAGCATGGTGTATCCCTCCAAAATTAAAATCTGTTAGAAGTCCTTTGAATGAGTTAATATAATGCTAAAAATGTAAACATTTCCCCAATTTATTCTAATGTTCCCTTACACCAATTTGATGCTCTGGGTTTGGGCCAGAATTTTAAAAACTGATTTCTCTCTCATCAGGAAGAAAAAGAAAATGAAAAAGGAGATTCCTATACATACTACTACATCTACCAACGTTATTCAGAGAACTTTAGAACGTTTGTCAGCAAATGAATGCACAGAACTTATAGTATTTAAGATGTTATAAGGCTGTTGAACTCACATAGATTTCCATGTTGGCACTAGATGTGACTCAAGCATTATGAAGCTTTCTGGAGATATACACTTCATCAGGAATGAGTACCGGCAAATGGAGAAATCAATTCAAGACCTCTTGTCTGCCCTAGAAACTGTTTCCAAGAACGTGGATATGAAGGTAATTGGAAAGAGATGGGACTCATGCTATGTGTTACTGCCTGAAGTAAGCTCATCCATTATGTCGCATCAAAATGGCCAGAGAGGTGGTAATTTTTTAAAAAGAACTCTTTTCTTCCAAAATGAGTAATCTGACAGCTCATGCATACATACAGTCAGTCCAGTCAACAAATATTTAATGAGTGCCACTTATATTCTAGTACTGCTGCTCGTTGTGAGCATAGACTGCCTGATTCCACTGTTAACATCATTTGCTTATTTTCTGGCTTCCCCTCAAAGACTGGAGCCAGGGATTATAAACAGGCATTTCCCAAGGAAGCTATTATTATTAAAGATCCAACATTAACGTAAGTTGATCATGTTACATCCCTGTTTAAAACCCTTCAATAGTTTATGTCTCTTATAAAAAATACAAAAGTCCTTTGGCCTGAATTTTAAAGGCCATCTCTTCACAAGCCCCCGCTTAGTATCTGTACTTATTATCTGTGCTTTCTGACTCACTCTTAATACCAGGGGCACCAGCTACCTATAAGTAGTTACATGCTTATAGATTTGTCTGTGCCCATTATCGTTTCCTACTTAAACTGTAATAGCAGTGTTGATTTACTCTTTGACATGTGTGTTAGTCCAAAACCTTTGAGAAGTCAATGCTGTAAAGGAATTAGATGAACAAGATGATTAGATGAACAAGAGATTAACTGAGGGGAAAATCTATGAGGAAAAGAGCTGTATGAGACTGGAAGAACCCTAGTCTGCAAGCAGTCTGGGTCCTGTGGGGTGGAGTGGGAACCAGGAAGAAGGTCTTTAGCTGCAATATCAAGAGGAGCTGTTCATCAAGTTCCTGAGAGCAGCCTGTGCAAAAGAATGTCTGGACACATGCTGATCTTTTTGGGTCTAGGCAGTCTAGGCCCTTGAACAAATTATGTTCCTTGCAGTAGATGTCATGTTAAACATGAAATAAACACTAGAATTATAAGAATATTTTTTATTCAAGGGGCTGGATTTTTATTTCTTTTCATATAATTTTCTTATTAATTTCTGGTTTTAGAGTAGTATAGTTAGACTAATGACCTATGTTTTTCCTTCCTTTTGGAATAATTTGAAATTTTCTTTATAGTCACACACATGCTTAGTTGCTGCAAATGCTCATAGGCACTGGGAAAGTGTTGGCTATTTGAAAGCTACATAGTTTGATAAATAAATATATTTAATAAAATTTATATTTTTCCTATCTTCCTACATCCTTATTAGTATTTTATTTATTTTCCCAGGAAAGAAACAAAAAAGGCATTAAAAATCACTATTATATGACATGTTAGTTTATCCTAAAAAGTTGTTGCTTTCCAATTCAGTATATAGAATAAAAAAGGTCCAAAGTTCTTTATTTTTTCACTGAGGATTTTGCCCTTTAGCTATAAAAATTGGCATCTCTGTCCCACTTTCTAACATATTTTGTCTTGAATAATATTTTATCTAACATTATGACTGCTCTGCCTGTTTTCCCTTTTCTTTCCCAGATATATATTAGCCTGTTATTTTATTTTCAACATTTCTGCTTTCATCCTGTTAAAAGTAAACAATCATTCCGGTGCTATTGTTTGCCCACGAAATATGTATCTCTTCAAACTCTTACATTATCCACCTCTTTTTTTTTTTTTTTTTGCTAAGAGAACACTGATTACATCAAATGCCCACCTTCTTCAGGAGTTGAAGTTTGCTTGTACGATGTCAATGCTGTTTCATTCTCCTTGACAGCGATTAGTTCAGACACAATCACTGTGCTGCAATTCTGCATCTATTTTTTAATCCAGTTCTTGTACCTAAAGGATTTCTCTAATGCTTCTAGCAATATGAAAGGCGTCCTATTCATAAATTTCAGAACAGAACCTTTTCCCCCCGCTATCTTTATATGCCCTAAGTCATTTCACTTGTGATTCTTTTATGGTCATGTCAGAATACTAGCTGGAGATCAAAGGGCCTGAATTTGGTCAGTCATGTGTTTTCCTCAGAGCCCAACTGTGTATTTAAACATTATTCACTAAATATTTGTTGACTATTTATAACCAGTCACCTAATATGCCCTGAGGATATAGTGGTGAAAGGATATAATTGCTTACATTGTAAACAGAAAGTAAAAAAAAAAAAAAAGTGTGTCAAATTAATAAATAAACTAATGTCAAGAGTGTGTTTTTAATATCATTATTTAGCCAATTATATAAAAGAATATTATGCACAGCAAATGGAGCACTTCCCATTATTCTTTTCCTGAAAATAGTGTGACTATAACTGTGAATCATACTCATTTGAAAAAAGTAGTTTTCAAATGCAAACATGCTTTCAGTTCAAGTCTATTTGCTGCCTCCTTTAGGAATAAAATATAATTCATGTAAGTGCTGGTGACTTTTCTCATACACAAAAAAGCTCCCTCTTGTACTTTCATTAGGTAATGCAGCTCTTAGGAAAGATAGAGTCTTCCACTTCTGAGCAAACCTCAAATTTAAAGATGATCCAAGGAGATTATCGCCATGAAATGAACCTTTTGGAATTCAAGTAAGTGAATGGAAGATTTTTAATTCTGTTAAGTGAATTCCAAAGAGTTTTGTCTACTAAAAGCATTGACATTAAATAAAAACCTATCCCAGGAATTTGAACCTGATTAAGAAATGAAGTAGCAAACCAAAGCAGACAATATTCCACCCTAAAGCAACTTATACAATAAGCATAAAAGAAGAAATATGATTATCAGTTTTGTCATACTTCTTTGTATAATATCTCAACATTCACTCTGACCTTCCCTATAGAGTAATTTTAACTTATGACCAATTTTATATTAAATGCCTCAATGTAAATCACTGCTGAATATAAATTGATTACCAAAGATTATCAGATACTTTTCAAAGCAATTTTGACTTGCAAGCTTTTCATTTAAGGTTTCTTCTAATATCCTCTACTTACTCCATTATATTGCCCATTTTTAAAACTAGTTTTTATCATGTCTTAAACTAAATTTTCCCCCTCTCAGCAGAGAAAGTAGTAAAATCTCTGAAGACATTCAAATTACTCCCCTCCCCACTTGAGGCTGCCATTGTAGCTCAATGGTAGAGTGCTTGCCTAGCATGTGTGAGGCACTGGGTTTGACCCTCAGCACAAGACAGAAAGAGAGAGAGAGAGAGAGCGCGAGTGCAAGAGAGAGGGGGCGGGAATTGGAAAAACTTACTGGCCCCTCATTCTCAAATCTCCCTTACCACCATTGTCCAGGGGTTCTGGTGCAGGCAAAATAAAATTCTAGTCACTTGGATGATGGTACCTAAATGTCCTGATATGCTTGTTCTTTTTCCTTTGCTTCCCATATCTTGAGGATTTAATGCTTTGGTCAAATCCAGTATTCTGATTATACTCTGCTTTCTCCATTTCTCCCTATCTCCACTGTATTTTATTAAATCTAAGTGCCCTTCAATGATAAGACACACCATTGTTAAGACATGAAGCTAACAATCAAGCCATAGCACACCATCATTTTTAATATACTTGATTTTGGACATGTTATAAAATATGTGTGCCCTAAAAAATGATGAAAAACACTAGCTATCACTAAATGCATATAGGTAGATATCTTAAATAAACATACAATACCTACTTTCTTCACACTCTGAAAGCACTTTGTCTTGAATTCTAGCACAGTGAGAATTCCCAGTAAATACCTCTGTGATGTTTGACAAGATGCCTTTGGTTTGAAATTCAGACAAAGAAAAGTATCCAAAGGAAAAGTAGAAAAGTAAACTATTTATATATGTACAGTTCAAGAACTAATTTCCTAGGGAAGAGATGGAAGAGCTGGGACTTATAATCCAGAGTGGGAGACTGGAGACTGGACTTAAAAGAATAAAGAGTATTAACAAAAAAAAAAAATTAAAATCAAAGAGGGAAAAGGGAAATGTTTGAGATGTAGGGTTGACTACTTCATTAATGATGAAGCTCATCTTCTCCATCTTCATTAATGCGGGAAACAGGCTTATAGATGAGTCACTCATCTACATAGTTAAATGTGAATCTGGACATTTTTACAATAGTGTGAATTTGAATCATTTATTCATTTTACATAATTAAGTCTTAAAATTTTGGCAGTATTTCAGTAGGTGATCATGAATCTATAATTCATAATTTTTTCTAGACAAATAGTTGTGAACTCTAGTAATTCACTTAGTTGTAAGACTGACTCTCTTCTATTTAAATCTTCCCCACTTAAAAAAATATGGACTTACTCTGTAACAAAATTAATCTAAAATGAAAAGAAAAGGTCAACTTTTCGGCTCCATAATATAACCATTGCTAACAACAGGGATATATCTTTCCATACTTTCCTCTTAATTAATATGAACACATAACAGGAAAAAAAGACATGTACACTATATATATATGGAGAGAGAGGAGAGAGAGAGAGAGAGAGAGAGAATACAATTTTTTTGTTTATTTGTTTTGTTTTGCAGTACTGGGGATTGAACTCAGGGCCTTACACATGGTTGGCAAATGCTCTACCACTGAATTATATCTCCACCCCAAGAGTATGGTTTTAAAAATAAATACTGGGATGAGTGGTAGAGCATTTGTTTAACATGTGTGAGTCCCTCCCTGGGTTTAATCCCCATCACAACAAAAAATAAATAAACAAAATAAAATAAATTCTATGTAAATTACTCAATTTTTCCATTTTATCTGCATACCTCTTGAGGACAGTGAATATTATTCAAACATTATTTTTCATAGCTGAGTATTATAATGTGCCATAATTCAACCATTTACCTTATTGCTGAATAGATTATTTCATCACAACCAAATAATGATTATGTGTCTATCTTTAGATATCCTTAGATTCTGGAGCTGTTATTTCTAAAGGCAAGATTCCTAGGTCAAATAATATATGTATTTATTAATTTTTTATAAACTTTTTTTCTTAAAATATTATAGTAATTTATATTTCTATCAGAAATATATGAAAATGCATTTATACATCTATACATTCTTACCAATACTAGATATGCTCTCTTTTTAGTATTTGTCAATTAAAAGATGAAAAATGGCATGTATTTCAATTTGCATTCCCTTCACTATTTTGCTTTTCTTTTCTGTGAACTGCCAATTCTTATCTCTTATCAAATTTTTGTATTGGGATTTTTAAAAAATCATTATTTATCAATTTGTAGGATTCCTTTATATTAGGGATATTAATCCCTAGACTGAGATATGTGTTACAAATGTATTTTACACAAAAGGAAAGTAAGGTAGGTAGGGCTCTTTAAAACAGAGTATTTCTGTTTTAATCTAGTATATTAGATTTCAGCAAGGTTGCCTTTGAACAACAATAGTTGTAGTTCCATGACTTTTTAAAAAATATATAAATAACCACTAATATTAGAATTTTAAGATACATATGAATTTAAAATTAAAGTAGACGGGGTACAGAATTTGCTTTTCTTTTCTTTTTGAAGGAAGAACTGTCTGAACAAAGAGATTAATTTCAATAAAAGTATTTCAATAAAATTAGAGTTAAGTTTAAATAAGCAACTTTCTCATTTAGAAACTTTGACAAGTTCTAGCTTAATTGTCAACTAAACTTATATTTTACCTTAAACTTAGAAGCCACAATAATGTCTGGGGGTTTCCTGGGGAATTCCTGGAACTTTGGCATCCATCACTAGATCTGGACAAAGAAGATGTGCACTGAAATCCTATAAGAACCCCCATTCTAGAAGTCATAGATGTCCAGCTAACTGTCCTAAAGTCAACAACTTAATGCTTATATAGCAAGAGTTTTGGCCATAATGAAATACAGCCATCTTTTAATAAGGGTTTGACAGGGGCAGCAACTGCCCATAACTTCCTGGATAGTTCCTACTGCTGATACTGTTTAGTGTTAGACCAATGACGCAAAGAAAAGATCACCGACTCCAATTGAAATCAAATTAAAGCAAGCTTATAATTTCTACCGGCAGGGCTGCCTCTCCCAACAAAAACATGGAACAAAAGACAGCCCTGCAGCTGTCTTGGAGCACAGCTTTATAGCACAGAAAGTTACACAAAGGGGGGTTTGAGAACTTACAGATAACAAAATTTTGACAAGCATAGAACAAAGGCTATTTAATATTTTAGCTGGCCCTGACATCAGAGTTTATGAGGGTCATTAGAGCTTCAGAGAGGGTGGTTATCTGGTCAGGGAAAGCCAGGCATGAGTGAGTGCAAGGCATGGGCAGGCATTCCAAGCAAGTTTAGAAATTGCAGTAATTTATAGTAAAGCCGAAATTAGCTTTTCATGCCTTTGTGGCGAGATGGCTCCCAATTTTAAGAGGGAATTAGGCTGGGTTTATAATTAGTAGATAGGTATTTTTAAAATTTTTTTATTATAATTTTTTATATATGATAGCACAACATATTACAATTCATATTAAACATATAGAGTATGATTTTTCATATCTCTGGTTGTATAAAAAGTATATTCACACCATTCGTGTTTTCATACATGTACTTAGGGTAATGATATCCATCTCCTTACACCATCTTTACACCCTGCCCCCTCCCTTCCCCTCCCTCCACTTTGCCCTATCTACAGTTCATCTAATCTTCCCATGCTCCCCCTCCCAACCCCACTATAAATCTGCCTTATTATATCAGAGACAGCATTCAGTATTTGTTTTTTGAGATTGGCTAACTTCACTTAGCATTATATTCTCCAACTCCATCCATTTATCTGCAAATGCCATGATTTTATTCGCTTCTGATGCTGAGTAATATTCATTGTGTTTACATACCACATTTTCTTTTGCATTCATTTACATTTAACAGTTTAGCTATTGTGAATTGTGCTGCTATAAACATTGATGTGGCTGTGTCCCTGTAGTATACTGTTTTTAATCCCTTTGGGTATAGACGGAGGAGTGGGATAGCTGGGTCAAATGGTGATTCCATTCCCAGGTTTCCAAGGATTCTCCATACTGCTTTCCACATTGGCTGTACCATTTTGCAGTCCCACCAGCAATGCCTTTTTTCCCCACATCCTCGCCAACACTTATTATTTTTGGTATTCTTAATACCTGCCATTCTGACTGGAGTGAGATGAAATCTTAAGTGTAGTTTTTATATGCATTTCTCTAATTGCTAGAGAAGTTGAACATTTTTTCATATATTTCTTGATTGATTGTATATCACCTTCTGAGAGTGTCTGTTCAGGTCGTTGGCCCATTTATTGACTGGGTTATTTGTTTTTTGGTGTTTAGATTTTTGAGTTCTTTATATATCCTAGAGATCAGTGCTCTATCTGATGTGCTTGTGGTGAAAATTGCTACGATGCTGTAGGTTCTCTATTCACCTCACAGATTATTTCTTTTGCTTTTTAGTTTAAACCCATCCCATTTATTAATTCTTTTTTTAAAGAGAGAGAATTTTTAATATTTATTTTTTATTTTTTGATGGACACAACATCTTTATTTTATTTTTATGTGGTACTGAGGATAGAACCCAGAGCCCCATGCATGACAGGCAAGCGCGATACCACTTGA